TGTGTGTGTGTGTGTGTGTGTGTTTCTGTGTGTCTGTCATTGTTTTACTGAAGAAAAAGTATGAATGGATTTAGTTTCCAATACACATAAGTCCTGCTTTTGAAATTGCTATTACTTTCCAACCCTGGTATTGATGTGCTCAACCACTAAAAAGTTAGCTAGTAAATAAATTGTTGAAAAGGAAAGATTTTCTTAAAAGTAGAAGCTCAGATCTGCTGCACACACACACACACACACTGACACAAAGTACCTGCTTTAGCTCCACCCTCATCAGCTCTGCAGCTTGCAGCTTTGCTTCAAGTGTGTGTGTGTGTGTGCGTATGTGTGTGTGTGTGTGTGTGTATAGAGGAGGCTGGTCTCTGTGCTCAGTGCCCTGCTGTACCTGTCTCTAATGGAGGTGCACTAACACTCCCAGAGCAGGCGGCCAAGCAGCGGAGCGCTGTGGAACAACAGGGGTAGCTATCCTCACACCTGACCTCTCTCTGCTTCTCCTTCCTCCTTCTCTTTCCCTCCACCATGCCTTTGCTTTTAGTCTCACTTCCCTCTGTCTCTCTCTGTCACTGTCTTTGGATTATTCATCTCTATATGACAAGTTTTTTTGAATTGAAACAGTTGTGAGTAAAGATTGTTATGTAGTAGTTTCATCCATGAATCTTACATGTGGAGGCTGGTTTACATGCATGAGTCATTTAGTATTTCAGAAATGATAATGTTATCTATTGGGTGTGTGTTATAAGTTAAGATAAGTCTTGGTGTTTCTGCTGCCTTGTGACCCTGTAGTCCGGGGCCTTGCGTCAATCGCCTCCATGTGCTCACGTGTGTGGCTAACATGGCGGCCTCCTTAAGCCTGCTTCCTTCAGTAGACTGGATCATTGTCAATCATTATAGAAAGACAATATAAGAGCTGTATTGTTCCACACTGTTCCACTTAGATTTTCTTTACTCCATATAATCCGCAGTAGGCTACATTTGGAACCAGGAGAGATTTTTGTTATGAAGAATCAAAGGAATGAAATGCTCTTACTCTTTCTAGCTGTGAGTAACTGAGCTTTGATAAAACCTCGGCTCATTTGCTTATTTTAAGAAAAAATGGAATTTGCCAGTGTCATCACAGCCCATAAAAGCTTTATTGCCTGCTCATAAAACAATTCAGTCCCAGTTAATACGTAGACAGTCAGGTGCTTCCATCAATCATAAACACGATGTAATGGGCAATCTCCAAGGCAATTACCGGAAGACCATCAAATCCTCACTCTTTGACTTCCTTCATTTGCTGCGTGCATGCAGGCGAGATGGTCCTTCCCTCCTGTTCTTCTCCGGGTTAATAACCTTTGACCAAGTGAACTCTGTGTCTGAGCTCTAAACATCTGCATGGGTGATGTTTTACCGAAGAGCTGCAGCCTGTCAGTATCATGCTGAAACAAAGACGTGATGTCATGACAGAAGGCTCACACTTAAATGGTCACTTTGAATTTATCGAAATGTGTATTTTTACTCAGCAAGACATAAAAAAAATACACTGTGTAAGTAAAAGCAGGGATTTGCCTTTACCAAGGTTAATCATTTACGTGTCTGTGCCTTGGACACGCACACACACACACATAAACACACACAAACACATAGACACACACACACGTGTCATGCCTCCATGACTCCAGAGGACATAACATAGATTTGCAATGATTTCCTGGAGACTTACTCTAACCTTAACCATAGTCATAGTGGGACCATACCATGAGTCATACCTGGACCAAACACACACACACACACCTACGGTATTCATGACTTTTCTAGATACACTTTTACCAAAAGATCCCCCACACACGCTCATCATTTCTTTTTGTTTACTGGCAAAGGAAGAGAGAGTAAAACAGACCCTCTAAGTTTCGCTTCACTTCTGATACAGCGAGTGCTGTGATTTCCTGAGTTTCTCCTAAGAAAGGAAAACCTCAGCACAAGAGCGGTTCTTACTGAGGAAGTTAGGAACATCACAGAGTAGTCAAAAGCAGGAAGTAGGTTACCCCACACCGAGACTGAACACTAAATACATCAACTTTTTTGGACAAAACACAAAATATCCAGAGAAAGGAGTATCACCCTGATTACAGTGCATTTTACAGTCGACCTCAGTGTCACATAGCTTCTTTTTATCACCGAGCTGAAGTCCCAAAGTGAATATTGCCCTCCCTTTGTCATTAGTCTGACAAGATAAGGCCGATAAGAGATGGAGTTGTTTTAGCACTTCACACGATAGAAGGAACAGAGGAAGGGCACGCTGAACTGGAGGCACAGAGAGGGAAAGAAACACAGAAACAAGTCATAAAAAGCGGTTTTCATGCAGCTCCTGGGAAATCTTTGAGAGACATGTTTTTGTTCAAGGGAGGGTACTACCTCCTATTCAGAATTCATTATAAATGTTCACTGCCTCACACAGTAGTTTTATTTTATCTAGTGTCATCTTGACCTGTGTCAACATTCAGCAACTGAAAACTGGCTAAAGATAGAAGGAGGAAACGTCATCCTGTTTCCTCACCCGCGTTTTTTTTGTTTCCCCCATTCACATTTTGATTAAATTTTCTTCTATACATAACAATAAACATATTAAATTGTAGCATTTCAATTAATATGGTGTGTCCACTGTACATTTTTTATGATATTTAAAAATATTTAGAAAACCTGTTTTCACGTAACTGTAAGCCCTCCAGCCTGAACAGGTGTGTGTGTGTGTATGTGTGTGTGCGTCTGTGTGCGTGGGAGAGTGGGATATTAGGTCAGGTCAAATGAGTGTGTGCGTTACCATGGTTGCTTGTCTTTGTGGCGTTTTACCTTTGTTGACTGCCTCACCTATCTACATCAAAGTCTAGGCAATCTCATGACGCGCAAACAATACACACACACACACACACACACACACTGCCTGTCTAACTAGCAACAGTTTTTAGACTACATTTGTTGAACAGTAAAAAGTTTGTGTATAGGCTCCTGTGATTCGTTGCTTCACTGTTGTGAGCAGCGTGGAGATTTGAGGATTTAAAATGCTGTGGATTTTTCCGTCCTGAATACTGGCAGTGTTAAATAACAGAATAAGAGGTTTATGCCTTAGAAGCGGATTTCTGATTGTTCTCTGTTCCTCATATAGGGCTGCAGGACTTAATGAGTTGACACACACACACACAAACAAACACACACATAAAAAGCTGCACCCACACACTGTATAACTTTGATATTGATAAGGAGGTTGAAAGTCCGACACCATCTCATGGGGAGTGGGAGTGCAACAGGTGCTTGTGTAAGATGAATTACCATGCACAGATGTTCTCACAGCGGGGACTCATATTTTTTAAACAGAACAAGTCATAAACTGTAGCTTAACGTGGGTTAAGCTTCATGAGCTAGCTTGTTAGCTTATTTAACATACTTCAGACACACACATAATGAGCATGTGACCTAGTCAAACTCGGTGAACCTTTAGCTGGAGGTTTCAGGGTTTGCAGCCCTTCATTCTCGCTGATAGGAGTCAAAGGTCAGGAGGGATCTGAGGAACTGAACAAAACAAGGTTGTAAAACTGCTGATAAGGAAAAGAGCCCTGGGGATTTATAGAGTCTGTGGTTCCACTGTTTGGTCCAGCTCACGCTGTGTGTTGATTAGTTTGTTAGCTAGGTAATCTTCCATGTGATTGTCCCTAGAATATTATGATTAAAGAAAGATTAAACAGCACCACCTCAGCTATAACTTTCTTCTTATTTGTCTTCCATGTTGTGTTTTCTTTTCTCTCATGGATAGCAGTTGTGGTTGGTACAATCTAATATGATAAACATGTCTTTCTTTGTCCTTCTTAGGCCCCAGATCTGATTGGATGGTTATGCCAGAATGACAGCCGAAGATTCTGCTTCTTCCTCAACCATGAGCAATAACGCTGCCCCCTCCAACTCCAAACCCTCCAAACCATACTCTGGTGCCTCCCACCACTCTCTCGACGGACAGATTAATACCCCTGAGGGTGTTCTCGGTGCTCCCATTGAACCTGCACTCAAGGCCCTGATGGAGCGCACCGGCTACAGTATGGCCCAGGAAAATGGTCAACGTAAATATGGTCCTCCTCCTGGCTGGAATGGTCCATCGCCTCCTCGAGGATGTGAAATCTTTGTGGGCAAAATCCCGCGAGATGTGTATGAGGATGAGCTGGTCCCAGTGTTTGAGTCTGTGGGACGCATCTATGAGATGCGGCTGATGATGGACTTTGATGGGAAGAACCGAGGGTACGCATTTGTGATGTACACAGAGAAACATGAGGCTAAACGTGCAGTGCGGGAGCTCAACAACTATGAGGTGCGGCCTGGGCGGCTACTGGGGGTCTGTTCCTCCGTGGACAACTGCCGTCTTTTCATTGGTGGCATTCCCAAGACCAAAAAGCGGGAGGAGATTCTGGAGGAGGTTTCTAAAGTGACAGAAGGTGTGCTAGATGTCATAGTTTATGCCAGTGCTGCAGACAAGATGAAGAACCGTGGCTTTGCCTTTGTAGAGTATGAGTCACACCGTGCAGCTGCCATGGCTCGCAGGAAGCTGATGCCTGGACGTATTCAGCTGTGGGGTCACCAGATTGCAGTGGACTGGGCTGAACCTGAGATTGATGTGGATGAAGACGTGATGGAGACAGTGAAGATCCTCTATGTCAGGAATCTAATGATGGAGACCAGTGAGGAGACAATCAGACAGGTGAGATTTGTTGACTGGTCAGTTTACAGGTTTCAGTATAAATTTGATCAGGTAAAAATGTGGGCTAAAACTACCCACACTTTCTCTGTGAACTAGGTGTTCAGCCAGTGGAACCCTGGATGTGTTGAACGTGTGAAGAAAATCCGTGACTACGCCTTTGTCCACTTTACCTCCCGAGACGATGCTGTCTTGGCCATGGACCACCTCAATGGCACAGAGGTGGAGGGGTCCTGCATCGAGGTGACACTCGCTAAGCCAGTTGATAAAGAGCAATACTCACGTCAGAAGGCCTCCAAGGGGGGGGTGCCTGTCACTCCAGAGGCTACTCAGCAGAACTACGTATACCAGTGTGATCCCTACACTTTGGCTTACTATGGTTATCCCTACAACACCCTCATCGGACCCAACAGGGACTACTTCGTCAAAGGTTAGAATTAATTTTCTCTGCTTTTATTCTAGAAATGATCAGTTGCAAAAGCCAAATGGTTTCCCTGAAAGCCAACTGTTTTTGTAACTGTTGGTGTCAGAAGAAACTTTTGGGACCATGCACTGTAAAAGATCTCATAATGTCATCCAACAAATGCTATTGTAGGAACAATGAATGCACTATTAACTAAAATAATGATTTAATCTTCGATGACTAGAATTTCATCTGATGAAATCTTTAACTTGATGAGGTTTTGTGGCTTAAAATCAGAGAGTTGTTAAAAGTCAAAGACAGAACAAGGTGATGGCCCAATGAATGCTAATCCCATTACCTGTGATTGATTAAATGTGGTCTTTGGGTGGCAATCTATTTGACTTTCAACAATCATTGTGTTTTGGTTTTCTCTCCAAAGGATCCCCAATGATACAGAACAATGGTAATCTCTCACATCCTTGCTCTTACTTATTCCTTCAATGAACAATGAGCTTTCCTGCCATTTGACAAACTATAAAATTTCTAACACCATCCTTTTCCTGCTGAGCTATCAACTTCCATTTCATGCTGGGTTATTGCACAGATCAAAACAAATCTACAAAACGTCTTGGACCATCTGTTCACAGTACGAAGAACTTGCATAACCAAGAGACAGAACAGTGCTCAAGAAAGAGGTCACACTGTACTTAAATAACGGGAAAATACAAACCCAAAAAAAAACCTTACCTTCTAGCAACTGCACTTTATGAGCCAATTATTCCCTTAAATTACAGCTAAATGTTTCTCCTTGCTACCCAAGTCCTAATATCTCAAGAAGAGCTTCCAAGGAAGGCATAGACTTATCATAAAATCTTGCCATACATGTCATAGTATACAACTTTCAGCATGCCCCTGCTGCCCAAGTCGTAAACCACAACTCCTGTCATCATATTACCTCAATTGTATTTTAAGCAGGTACTGTGCGAGGTCGTGGTCGTGCTGCTGCATGTAACCGTACCCCTGGACCACGGGGGTCGTACCTGGGGGGTTACTCTGCCGGTCGTGGCATCTACAGCCGCTACCATGAGGGCAAGACCAAGCAGCCCGAAAAGCCCTATGAGCTGATGCCCAGTCTGGAGCTTGCTGCCTCCGTCAACCCAGTTGGCATCAAACCTGGCACAAGTCAGTGAGATAGTTACGTCCATCCATATCCTCGCCCACCTTAAAAGCCTTTACTAAACCTTCCAGCTCACAATTTCTGTATCTCGCTCACTTCTGTGTGGTTTGAGGAACTTTTCCAAATCAAAGCACTGGTTGTTGCTGGATGGTTATGTGCAAAAGGGCGTCCTTTCTCGTAACAGTTAAGAATAATGACACTAGATATGTGTCCTTTCTAGCATGACCAGAAGGTAACTTCAATGCTTTGTTCCTCAGTCTTTCCTTTTCCGCAATATCAGTAGTTTGACTATTGAGACTGAAAACAGCACTGCGTTTAAAGAAAAAAATGACTGCGCTCTTTATAGCATACTGATGATGCGAAGATATAACATCCAGGAAGGGGAATAGTACAACCATGAGTTAAAAGGCCAGCAAATGCCAAAACGATGACCACAAAGAACATTTGCCTGCAACTTTGGACAAGTTATTTTTAAGAAAATATTGCATGGAAATCAAGAAAAAGCTGATTGTTTTTGCCAGACGACACAGTGGTCTCAATGAAATAAAGGAGGCAGCCATGTTTTTTTGTTTTTCATGCAGTGCTGTTGTCGGTCTGAACATGGTCATTCACAATCTCATGCACTCAATTCCAACTTTTGACTGTAACATGGTTGACATTACTGCATGATGCCTTCTTACTCTGAGCAACGGTGGAAAGAATACGCCCGAAGAATAAAAAAGGTTCTCACAAAATATTTGCTTTATTCATTCATAACACAAATGATGGCTGTTCAGTAAGCTAGCATTAAGCAGTAGCAGCTACTTTAGCTTTTATTTTGCCCTATAAATGGTTCAGTCAACATTGGAGTTGAAATGCAGAACTAACTTGCACAAACTAAAAATTGTATGTCTCTCCTTTTTCTTGTGTCTACTCTGGTCTGATCACTTAGAGGTTAATGTCAGTGCTATGTAGAGTTGTTGCACATCTCATTTTGCAATGCATGTGTAATATGCTTTTTTTTCTCTTTTTGGTATCTACTAATTAGTTGTTTTTTTTAGCAAACTGCTGTCTCATTGAACAAAATCTCGCAGCAAAGTTGTGAATAAGAAGAAATTCCTGCATTGACAAGAAAGTTAAAAAAACCAAAAAACTCACTTAAATACATATTAAATAAGAACCCGTGTAAATACATTTTTATGCTCTACAAGAATTAAAGGTAGAAACTTGTCATATATTTGCTGATCAGACGTCCACCTTGTAAAGCCTTTCTTAATACTCCCTCTGAAACCATTTGACCCCAGTCTGTCTCAATCCAGATCTGTGTGGAATCACAGGATCACCACCAGATTGAAAAGACTAGTCCATCTGAAACAATGGCTGACGTTGTGTTAGCTTGCTTCTTGAGTGTGTATGAGTGTGTTTATGTATGTGTGCATGTGTTGGAACATTGGGGTTAATCCACAGTTGAGCACCATCATAATCCGAATCACACCCCAACGCAAACTAGTGTAACTCCTTCATTTTTCTTGGCTAATCTATATCCTGTAATGTGTCTCTCTCTCTTGTTTGTCCTCCGCTGCCGTCGTTTTCCTAACTCCTCTCACAGATTACCTTCAGATCTAGGTATGCCTGTTTCATGGGTGCTTGTTGTCTCCAACTATTACCTCCTGTATTCTTGATACAAAAATATTAACCATGTCTTTCTATACTCTGTTGTGTGCTGTGGTCCCATTTGTTTTCCAAGCTCTTATTCTTGTGTATTGTTTACGCACACAGTGGCCTTGCAGACTCTGGGTGGACAGTACCCAATGTTCAGTGCGGCTCCTGCAGCCAAACTGATGGAGGAAGGGAAGGTGCACACGGTGGAGCACCTGATCAATCCTCTGGCCATGCAACACCCTGAACACACCACCGCTAATGCTGCTGCTGCTGCCACCGTCCTACCTTCAGTCTCTACCCCTCCACCGTTCCAGGTATGCACCATGACGCCTTTACATGTTTTCTCCATGATACAGAGTGTTTATGAATCAGATGTCACACCAGAATCCTCATAAGAGTTTGAAAGCGAACTTTATCAGTTGACTGCACTTCTATATCTTCTTATTGGAAAGTTTAAAAGTGCAAAATCAATGCATCAAAACCAGACTATGATTTAAAATGGGTTGACTTCCCCATTAAAGATATAATATGTAACAATTCTTTATTAAAATGTCTACTTTGTGTTTATATATTCCACGATTATGAAAATGCTAAAATGCAGCTGTGGGTTATAGTTTTTTGTACACTTAGTATGGAAATTGAGGACATGCTTTAGAAATCCTCTTATTCACTCTATCCCTCCTTTTCCCAGGGCCGTCCAATCACGCCCGTCTATGCTATGGCCCACAACGTACAGCGCATCCCCACTGCTGGCCTGTATGGAGCTGGATACGTCCCCATCACAAACTACGCTGCCAACACAGCAGCTCTGGCCGCGCTGCAGAAGAATGCAGCTGTGGCAGCTGCAGCATACGGAGGCTACACTGGCTACGCTGTGCCACAGGCCTTCCCCGCCACGGCCTTCCAGCTGCCCATCCACGATGTCTACCAGACATATTGATTCCGAGGGCTCAGACTCTTATCCTGCCTGTGACTGAGCGACCACAGCAACATCTCGGACACATCTGTCCCATCGTACAGAAACATCTCATGAACTTGTGAACCTCTAAAGGAACGAGGTTGGAAACAAACGTTCAGAACACAGACAGTGAAAAAATGACAATCTGACATCTCATATCTTTCTCACCTACTGGCCTCAGCATATCCTGGACACAGCAGCCACATGACAACATCATGACAACATCATGACAACATCATGACAACATCATGACAACATCATTAAACATCTTTTTTCTACTGAATATTAAAACACATATAAAAGACAGTCTACTCCCTGGGGAGATCCACCAGTGTGTGCTGACAGTCGTCCCCAACAATAAACAGCATTCACAAAAACAACACATATACACAACTCTTTTTCTCTCTGACCCAACTCGGGAGAAAACTGAAGGTACATCCAAGTATTTATGAAGAGAATATATATACTTAAGGTTTTATTCTCTTCAGGTCTCTCTCTCTTTTATTTTAGGGGGAAGTATGTTTTCTGAAGCAGGAAAGATCGAGCTTTAAACAATGTTTAAAACTAATTAAAAAGTGTAAAGTTGGGGGAGAAAGACAAATTAATTAAAAAAGTAATAGTACAACAGGAACTACTGACAAATGAGGATATCACTGAAGACAGCTGTCTTGAATATACTAATGTTTTTTTCATTTTTTTCATTAATATATAGTACTCTAGCCAATTCTACATGCTGTTGGTGATGCTTTCCGTCCATGGTGGTTGAATGTGTATGCTTCAAACACGTCTGTTTGGTACTTTTTGGTTTTATTCAGTTTCATTTGTGTTTCTGGTTGTTTTGAATGAAGGTTCAAAGTATTGTATTGTTTTTTTCGCCTATAATTAGTTTGCTTGTTTTTATGTCTGCTTAAACCTCTGGAAACATAGAGTATATCTTGATTAGTTTGAAGAGAGGTAACCTGCTTACTAATGTTGTTGTGACAGATTCCCTGGGGAACTAATGATAGAGAAAGAAAACTGGAAAAACTTTATCTATAGGTGACACTGCTCTGGCAGGGAACGAAGACTGAACCGATATTAGTTGTTGTTTTTTCTCACTTGTGTATGTTTTTATTGTTGTTTTTTAAATGTTTGACTCTTGAAAGGTGAACAAATATTGACAGAAATGAGAGACATTTTTTCTATATGTTTTCTCTATATACTGGAGCACTCTCTCTGTCTCTCTGTCTCTCTGTCTCTCTGTCTCACTCTGTCTCTTACAGTGCTCCTCCATTTGCCAATGCAAACCAAAAAAAAACCCATATAGCTCCATACACTCCAGTGCCTTACAGCTATATGCATTTGCTACTCTATGCTTTCCACAACACCTTTCAAAACAAAGACTTCCATCTGTGCATAGCACTGGAATCTTCAGATGTGTGGTATCACTGTGTTCTGGTGAGACGAGTAAATTTCAATCGCTGCAGTCCACTGTCCTCTCTGAATGATCCTGCAGTAACACTCCACATATTTCTCTCTCTCATTATTTCTCGTCCTCCAAACTGTGCTTGACCAAGGTGCACTTAAAATGTATTTATGAAATGCAAGACATTGCCTCTTTCAGATGAAGAGATATTGAAATACTGAGCATGGATTTGTGTGTGTAAACTGGACTAGTTGGCGTTTTTCAACTTGTATGTTTCTTGACAGTTTTTCTTTGCAGGTAAAAGCATAAAACATAAGATAACCCTGTTGAATGTTGGGTGGGCACTTCTAAAACTCTACGGTGTGGTGGAAACAAGTGCAATGTAAATTGAACTGGGAGTAACTGGACTCATACCTCATGATGAAATACAGAAGCTATGCATGTGTTGTATGTTCTATGACAGACAAACATAGCTGTTGCAAGCAGCTGCTCATCCTGAATTCACACTCAGCAGCCATCCCTGTTTTTTATAGAAGAACACGCAAAGCGTTTTTGTGCTGGCTTGTATTTTTTAAACCAGTTCTAGTAGTTTTTAATGTTTCCATCCATTTTTACTCATCTGCTGCGTTTGAGGGGAGTTCATTTGCTAATTTTCCATCAGCTCATCAGATTTTTTTATATTACTTTATATATTAAGTAATATGCTGACTTGGACTTTGGTGACTCTGGATTTTGAAGTTTTGAAGGAGATCATGACGAAGTTATTGATCCAAAAAAAAGTGTAACTAAAGTGCAAAGAAAAAACACGTTTGTTTTATCTCTTCTTCACTTTGCTTCTCTCCATCTCTGAAACTGGATTTCACTTCGAAAGCAAACTGCTGTCAACTGCTTTCATTATTTTTTCTTGTATGATGACATTAAGTCAGGATATATTTAATATATGCATTATGTGTGTGTTGTGAATGAAGTGAGAAGAAAAGGTATAATATATTCAAAAACAGGTTTCTTTTCTTTATTTACACTTTGTTTAGGGACAAAAAAGTCAGAGTAACAAAAGTAGAAAAAAAGTCTTTTTTGCCAAAGTGTCCAATAGTTTTTAAACATTCAAGGATAATGTGTTTTTGTTATGTGTAATATTATGTTTGAACCAGATGTTGGTGTTATGAGTGGGAACACTGATTCTTTCGTGTGGCTTCTTATCAGTAAACAACAAGACTAAAACTGTCCGAGTGAAGCATGCCGACTTGCTGGTACTTTGAGCTGTCACTGTTGCAACTACGCTCAACAGTTTTAGCTCTGCGACCAAAAGTCTAGGACACTTGTGTTTTCCTGGTTTGGCCTCCCACTCAGAACAACTACCTTTACTCTTTGTTGCCTGCATTTCACCCACACTGCTGCAGCGGGATAAACTCCTGCTGCTCTTTGTGTCAGTGGTGTGGAGCTGCATGTGCCTAGTTTAACATAGGTATTACCATTTTAACTCTTTTTAGTGTGTGCCTTATTGCCAATGTGTGCCCTTTGCCATTCCTTTGTAGACCTTTGCAGACTCTTTTCTATCTGAAGGTTTGTTTTAAAAAAAAAAGCTTGTTCGCCATTGTTATATTTATAGTGATAGTAGTTAAATAAAGCATTTTCAAAAGGATGCAGTGCTTCATTTGTCTGTATTGTGCCCCGACTTACAGGAACTATGTAAACCTTGTAAATTTTGCTCAGTTTTAGATTAAACCGCATGACTGCAAAAGTGCCACGACCTCTGTGAATGGAAACTCATCCCTGACCTCATACATCAGCCATTATTAAGCAATGTAGCACAGTGGAGAGACGAGAGGCAGCGCAGTGTGTGGAGAATGTTTCATAAACTTCTCTGTGGCCGGTCAACTTTACTCTAGAAACATGTTGTGCCCCAGCGGGGAGAGATTTCGAGAACATAAGTAGCCTTCATCGTGTTGTACAATGAGTGTAAGAGGGCAATCACAGGTATATGAGGGCTTTTATGTAATGTCAGCATACACAGTTCAACTGAATGGTCACCTGGTTTATCCTGTAAATGTGATGCCAGGATGCAGGAAGAGAAGTCACCTTATACATCTCTCAATCTGCAGATTGTTACCTATATTATCAATATCATAAAGTCCTCTTTTTAATACCAATACTGATACTAATAGATGCAGTTACATCAAGCTCTGGGCACATGAACTTAATGCGTTCTCTCCTGTTGATTACATTCACAGTTCTGAGAATTCACATAACAAACTTTCACTATTTGCTATTGATAATTTTCTAATATTTCAACTTGTATGTAATTGAAAAGTTAAAAAGAGCGTAGATAATAGAGGCTTATATTTTGGCAAATCATAGGGGCTTATTTATTCAGAAGTAGCTTATACATAACAGCAAAAATAATCACATCTACTATCAGCTTTTCTGGTCCTAGTATTTCTTAATATTGGATCCTCAGCCTCATTTTAAAATAATTGTCTACATGATTGTTTGTGTAACCAGGGAGCTGTGAGTTCCTGATAAGTGCATGACTAATTAAATCCTTACAGACTCTACCAGGCCTCTGGAAAAATTCATTTTATTTCCAATGAATATTCTCCAACATACAGCCATAACAAACACATGACCACACGTAACACCACGTTGTCATTCTGTAGAAAGGGCAGAGAGAAGTTAAATATTAGCCTGGCTGGACCCTGTGATGTTAGTATGAAGCGGTGTAGTTTATATTGGTTAGGTTAATGTTGCCATCTGGTGGCAAACACACATCTTCAGAGCAGCAGCCTGCAGCAGAGCCTCAGCTCAGACCAGACAGTGCAGGTTTCTACTGGCAGCCATGTTAGCTCCACAGAACCTGATGCAGAGTATAAATAAATAATAACAATAAAATCATAAAATATTGAGGTTAAAATAAATGTTTGATCAATCATAGTTATTTATTGGACACGGAACAAAAAAGACTGGAAATGCTGATGTCACGTGCATGGAGCATTTCCCATATTTCCATTGATCGTATATTTATTGTGCCACCACTGTGTGAGTTATTTTATGTTTTGAATTAATTTCATTCATATTTACATCCATCATGTTCCTATGTTGTCCCCTAAAGATAGACAAACTGAAGAGAAATATCCTGGAACTAACTCCCAGCAGTGTTTTACGTGACTTCGACTACATCTCCCATGATGCCCCGGCAGCCATCCGTATCCGCGCTGCCCTCACGCGGCTGCCGCTGCGCTCAGTAGATTCATAAACAACATGGCTCTGTCAGCTCGACGTGTAAAACACATGGAGGGAAATCCAGATGATGTAGGAGTCAGTGAAACGCGTCTCCTCTCCGGAGCGTAACCGCGGTTTATATTTGGCTTAAAGGAGACGCAACAAAGCGCACAAAATGGCTGCGCTGCAGGTCCGGGCGAATGAGTAGGTTTACTATAGCTTTAAGAAGGCGAAAATAGTGTCTGCTTCTTTAAAATGATATCGCTTTATTAATGAATTGATAATTAAGAAAAGTTTTCAATACCTAATCAATAAATATCTGCTTTTAATTTGCGACGAACTCCGCGCAGTGCCAGAAAATGTGCGGCTGTCGGATAAAGGCCGCCTGCACTCAAAACGTCTTTAAACCAGATGTGGTCCGTTTCTCCTCGAACTGTAAGTAAACCTGTTTGACTTTAAACGGAACCTGAGGCAGACCGAAGTGTCCCCGCGATGATGGAACCGACGGGCGACCGAACCGGGGATGTAAATAAAGGAGAGGAACCGGCGGAGGACAAGGCCGCAGACCAGACCTCGGGCACCAGTACGAGCGTCTCACCGCGGATGGGGCTCAGGGAGCGCGGAGCGGCCCGACCGAGGTCCGGCGTCTCCGCTTCGCTTACGGGCGTCAACGGAGCCGCGGTGAGCCCGCAGAGCTCGGGTCGGGTATTAAGGGACAGGTCGACGAGGACAGTACCGGCCTGGCTGAAGGACGTAAAGAGCGACGACGAGGAAGAACCGAGCCCGGACACCGGAGCGAACAAGCGGCGGAAAGTTTCCAACTCCAGGCGGAAGAAAAATTCCGAATCTGCGTGTTCGGCTGGAGGGGGGGTCGCAGGTGACAGCCTTCAAGGCACAGAGTAGGTTTTTGATTGAGCAGCACCACGTTTGTTTATGATGAGCCATGTGTGTTTATGTCGGCGGGGTCAGCTCCTGTGAAGCACGCCTTCAGCAGAGCTCGTCCCCTTCCTGCAGCTCTGCATGGGGAGGGTGGAGAGACACTCACCTGGCTCCTAAAACTTGTCATGTTTTACACAGATGCTTGCCAAAGGCACCGTCTCATCAGGGATGTGATGGATGATGGGATGTTTCTCTGGAGGTTGAGAGAATTTCACATCTCAGTGTTTTCTCCTCTTCTTTTTACAGCTTGGAGGAACCCAAGAAACCTGCAACAGATGCTCAAGGTAATCAGAGGAACATTAGTTGAATCTAATTCTGTGCATGTGCAGTTGGATCTCTGCATATTTCAAACTATGTGACCTTGTTTCACTCCTGCATTACACCTGATGGCCAGCAGTATGTTTGATGTTATGTTTCTGCTCCCTCACTCCAGCTCTCCCCTGCAGACGCCCCCCGGCCCAGACTCGTGCCAAACTCCCGTCTGCCAGAGCCAGCCGTGGCTCTGCCAAGCCTGTGTGTAAGACCGAACCTGGAATGGAGAGTCCAGCTGGTGAGCAACCTGTTGAAAATGAGCTGCTTTGGTTCAGTGGGCATGTCTGTAAATGATTCAAATTACACAGGGACTCTAACACTTCTGTTCTTGAGGTTGTTTTTTATGAAGAAAGCCATCAGAGACATTTGGTTCAGGTATCTTCCTCATCGTCATCCGTAATTAGTCTAATTAATGGGATCAGTGCTACCTTTTCTCCCCCACTTTATAACTTAAGATAATCCACATACTCAGAATGTAATAGACTGCATAATAATGATTATTTGTTATATATATATATATATATATATATATATTCTTAAATGTGGGATTTATAGCTATTTATAAGCTTTAGCTACCTCCCTAAACACTTGACATCTTCTGTTTGTCATGCAGCAGTGGAAGGAAAGGTAAACAATAAAGAGAAGTCTGAAATGTAAGTATACTATTTTTACATTAACATGGTTACTGTTACCCCTTGGTGGAAAAGGTTTAATTATGAAAGTGTGTGCCTTAGTGAGAGCCATGTGTTGTTTTCATGTCTGCTGTGTTTGACCCTTTTATTGTCTCAGTGAAAACAAAGTGGAGGAAAGCCAGGATGTCGCTGAACCGGTGTTGGATGAAGAAGACCCTTCATTTCATGACGACCCTAGCGACCTCAGCTTCCAGCCACAGAGTCAGAGGTACTTATATGAAGTGCAGAACTCGACCTGAGCAGAGAGTGTAAAATCTTGTCTCAAGTCCTCGTTTTGTTTTCAGTGGTGCAGAGGAGGAGGAGGAGGAGGTGGAGGAGGAGGAGTGCCTCAGCAGTGATGAAGATGTTCCTTTTAGAGACGACTTAAATGACCAGAGCTACGACCCTAAGGCTGAACGGTGTGTGTGTGTGTGTGTTGCCACTTTCTCCATGTTCAGAGATGATTAGACATTGGCGCCATATTTTCTGTGTAGCAAAACGTTGAAAGACTATAGGAAGTACTATACTATCTCTATTTGTCTTCTCAGGGATGCCCCTAAACCAAAGCGCAGAGCTCCTCTGAGACTGAAGGAAAAGAAAGAAAAAGAGAAGGCACCTAAAAAGGAGAAAGAGGTCGCTGAGATAAAGGTAGAAGGTTCCGACAACTTGGAAAGTGTGGAAGAGGAAGTGAAGCTCGAAGAAGAAACTGTGGAAGACCCAGATGGACCCAGGAAGTAAGCATAGTAACACACGATCTGTTTGTAGTTATCAGCGGGACAGAGTCACATCCCTCGTATGTGCAATACTAGGCAAATGTTTCCTTATTCCTTGTTCAGGTTGAATATAATGTGTGTGGTTGTTTGCGTGGTCACAAAGCAGTCTCCTTTTAATTGTGTTTTTATTTGCGACATAATATAACATCAGTATAGAAAAGCATAGGTTTTCAATGCAACTTATTTACGTACTTTTTGTTGTTGTTTGTGTGTTAGGAGAGGCAGACGGAAAAAAGACGACAATACCCCACGGCTGCCTAAGAGAAGGTAAAGCTGATGGTTGTGTTGGGGCATTATAATGTGAATTTTATTAGATAATTTCATGGATCATTATGCAAACGTTTTATTCAAAAATGTAAGGACATGATATAGTGGGCCATAGATATATTGGACATATGATGCAAATACATCTAATATTTGGTTAATTTTTATATCACATTGTCATATGCATCACCCACACAGAAAGAAGCCCCCAGTGCAATATGTGCGCTGTGAAATGGAAGGATGTGGGACCGTCCTGGCTCATCCTCGCTACCTACAGGTTTGTCTCAGCAACTACACCGTCCCACTGCAGAGGTTTTACGTCTGTCACTCCGTTAAATACAGTTAAGAGAAATGTAGTTCAAACTCTGCCATAGATAATTACATTTTTAAACATCAACAGTTGTACATAAAATGTTGATTATTTTTTCATGGTTGTATTGTCTGAAATGTTTTATCACTATCTGGAGCTGAGGGGAACCATGCAAATAATGGGTTCTTATGAGATACTCTCAATTCATGCAATTTTCATTTTAATGTCAATTTGACCACACATGCCTTAATCAAACCTGATAACAAAACACTTAACTTAATATTAATCAAATTCTGTTTCTAGACAGTCTTCCAGCTTTCTCATTGCACAAGTCCTGATGTACTCTTCTGCATTTTTTTTGATTTTCACACCAGCATCATATAAAATATCAGCATTTGCTCAAGAAGAAATATGTATGTCCTCACCCGTCTTGTGGAAGACTTTTCCGCCTTCAGAAGCAGCTGCTGCGTCACGCAAAGCACCACACAGGTACGCATACTGTGCATATGTAATATGTTATGCAGGTTTTATCAGTGTTTTAATAATTTCTTGTTAGAATTAATGACAGTATATAGAGAATCTACATTCAAGTGTTTTGTGTTTGTAGATCAGAGAGACTATATCTGTGAGTTCTGTGCTCGTGCCTTCAAGAGCTCCCACAACTTGGCTGTGCACCGCATGATCCACACAGGAGAGAAGCCCCTACAGTGAGTACTTCCCTGTTCAGTTTTTGGTCATTTATTTTCTTAGTTTAAAGGTTTAAAAACATTTTCCCAGAATGCAAAAAGACATTTCCTTTAAATTTTCAATTTCTTTCTCCAATAGGTGTGAGATCTGTGGCTTCACCTGTCGCCAGAAGGCTTCTCTCAACTGGCACATGAAGAAGCACGATGCTGATGCCACCTATCAGTTCTCCTGCTCTATTTGTGGTAAGAAGTTTGAGAAGAAGGACTGTGTGGTGGCTCATAAGGCCAAGAGCCACCCAGAGGTGCTAATCGCTGAGGCGCTGGCAGCCAACGCTGGCGCACTCATCACAACCCCTGCCTCCCTGCTGGAGCTGCCAGGAAACCCCATGCAAGCAGAGGTCACCGGCTTGGATGTGAGCCAAGTAGGGCAGGATGGGCAGATGGAGCAGCTGAGCCAGGAAGGTCGAGTTGGGCATCAAGTGGCTCAGGTGTCTCAGATGGGTCATGTGACCCAGCAAGTGAGTCACCAGGTGGTTTTGCTGGGACAAGACCAGAGCCTCCACACCATGCAGGTGCCAGTGACAATTGCCCTGTCCCCAATCGACCCCCCTTCACCGGCTGACAACCAGCAGCAGACTCACCTCCAGCTGCAGATGCCCGTCCAGTTTGTGCAGGCTGCCCAGCAGCCACAACAGCCCCAAATCCAACAATTGACCCTCCATTCCAGCTCAGTGGTGACCCAGCACCAACCCCAGCTCCACTCTCTTCAGTCATACTCCTCTCAGCAGCAGAGCCAGGGCCAGACACAAATCCTTCAAATGACCTTCCAGCCAGTCAGCCAATCCCAGACCCACATTCAGCAGATCCCCATTTTAGCGACCTCTCATCAACTTCAGTCCTTGCACACAGCCACCCCGAGCCCTCCTCTCCTGTCCCCATCCCAACCCCAATCCCAGGATCCTGCCTCCACAAATGGGGGCAACTATATTCTGGACAATCCCGGACTCATTTCCTCCTCTCTTTCAGCTAACTCCCTCCAGCAGACAGAGGCTGCTGGAGAGGATGGTGTGGTCTGGGAGCAAACAGGACAAGAAGTTCTGACTGACGGCTCTGAGAGACACGTGCAGCAGGTCCTCATGTAAAACGAGGGAGCGCAGCAAGAAAATAGAGGAAGGTTAAGTCATCAGTGACCTGATACACTGTATTGCAACGTTTGAGGTAAATGTATGATCACCAATATATTATGTACTGTTGCACCCATAGTCATATTTGGTAGTTTTTTAGAATATCTGTATCAGGGAAAGATATGTGTGTCTGTATGTGTAAGTTGTTGCCTTTGTACATAAGTCCTGTAAACTTAACTAGCCTTTTGTGTGAGTGTGTGTGTACTGATGCTGAGGTTATATTGCAAAACTGTCGCTATTATGCAATAATATAGCATACCTCTTAGAAATATACAGCACATGAAATGCCAAGTGTGAGGCACGTTCCTACTGGAATAAAACAAAATAATTTATAATATGTTTTAAACACATAACTTGGTAGAAAGTTATAAACATCTTCAATATGTGTGGGGTGAGTGAAATCTCTCAACGAAAATAAAATAGGCAGTCATTATTTTTTCATTTATTGTCCAGATCTACTATAAAACAACAATTGATAGGACTAAAAATATAAAACCAAAAAATCTGAACTCACAAAGACTGTACACTGAAGAGGTGTAGACAGAAAAAGGTGCTTCACAGTTTCAGAATATGCATATTTTAGAGATGTTGGCAGTGTCTGTTTAAATATTTGTGCAGCTGTTTGACTTTGAAGGAATAATAACTCATGTGTAGTGGGGTCCAAAACATTAACACGACTGAATTGGACAAACTCAACTTTTGTCTATAACATTTGAAGTGTGTAATTTGATGAACAGGACTATGTAGATCCTTTGGAGAAAAAAAGAATGTCAATACTAAATCAGCACTTCTCTGATCTGTGATATAGGACGTGTGGTAGTGCAAACACAAAAAAATAATTCATTTATATGATGTAAATAAATGTCTTAACATTTATCCAAAGCGTTTTCATTAACAGTTTGAGAACGTTATTATTTTTTGAGGGGGCCAACATGTCACACAACTTTATCTTTCCATACAACTGGAACCGCCACACATACTTGGCAGAGGGGTCGGCCATTACAGCTGCTTCCAGGGATTTACTGAACTCCAGATGTTGTCCTGAAATTATCCAGACGCACTGTACGTGATAATGTAATTGTCCCAGTCCGTTGCCTTAGACATTCTCCAGAGTTTTTCCTTCAAGCCACAAAGTAAAATGTCTGAGTGAGCCCCTGTGACAATACAGCAGGTAAATGTCCATGCAATTCACAAGTGGATGTGTTCACATGTTATACACGAAACAAAGAATACAAATAGCTCATCTAATGTAAAAGATGCCGAAGAGGGAATAATATGCCAAATTGGGAAAAACAATCCTAACCCAAGAGATTTTAGTGATAAGCACTGGTGCTGGTGGGCTGTAAAAAAAAAAGCATGCTCTGCCCAGATGTCATCCCTCACCTGAATGGTCCAGAAATGTTCTTGTGAACCCATCTGACCCGAACAGTCTCCTGTGTTGTTCATGTGTGAAAAGCAAAGTGAAGTCCCGACAATTAGAGCTGTACATTATCCGGATTTCACATCTGAAAACAGCTTAATAATTGAATCATTGGTGGTTCAATCCCCAGCTCCTCCTTCATTCTTGATGTGAATATGTGGAACATTTTAGTTATTGCTGGATGTAATGTAACTGAAGGCTTGAGTTATGAATGAATCCACCAATGGACAGTACACTGTTTCTCCAGACATGCACACTGAGAGAACAACTTTCACCAGCACTTTATACTATTGCTTTATGAGGGTTAGGATTGCACAGTGGTACAGCTCAGGAAAATTCCCTTCTCCCTGCCCATCCGGCCCTGCTTGGCTCTCTTCAGGACATATTGATCCGCTCTCGGTCCCTGTGCATGGCATACTGCTTCATAGCCCGTTTAGGAGGAATCAAGGTGTTACTCAGTCCAACCCTCCTCTTCTTCACCTGCTGCCCTCCTGACTCATCCTCCTCTGGGAGCTTCTGTGTCCCGACACCACCAGAGCCACCTGCATGGGGCTCAACTTGTTCTGATGCTGGTGCTTCATCACTCTCAGGTGTATGATGAGGAAGATGACTGTCAGCTGCAGTGACAGAGGTCTGGAGGTCACTGTCATGAGCAAACTTGCATTTGATCCCAAACCTGCACCTCCCATCTCTCCTGTAAGACACGCACATTCTTTTCCCTCCTATCTGGGAGGGTTTGGCCTCCATTGTCAGGGGGACATGTTTCTGCAAGGCGCTGAGCTTCTGATCTGCCTGGGCCTTGAAGGGGTTGGCGAACACGCTGCTGTCAGAGCAGGCGTTTAGAGCAGGAGGAGGCAGTTTGTTCGGGGTGTGTGAACCCAGGGAAGGAGCAGGGAGGGTGGGCTGATAGGCTGCTGTGGGGGGGTGTGATGGGGATGAGGAAGGCTCAGGATCCTCTGGTTGTGACTCGCTGCCTGAGTCACTGGAGGCTGAACCTGACTCCAGCAAGAAGTTACGGGTCTTTACGACAGGTGTCGCCTCATCAGCCGCCTGCTTGACGAAGCTTGAAGATGGAAAATAACACAAGGTACAGGAGAAAGGTAAGTTATTCGCCCGTCTGTCATTAATTACTACGTATTTACTTACTTAATATGTTTTTTAAATGAGCATTTACCCATGCCCGCCGGTGTTTACATCTCCATCGCTGTCAGATTCCGAGGACACTCCGTAACCAACCAGAGAGTTCATACCTTTACACTGAACTGGAGCTAAGCTAGTTAGCCTGTTCGAAATAAAAGCGGTTTGATTAAATCTTAAAGTAAACACGTGAATTCATTTAAAATAATGCCGCTGAAAGCATGTGAGCGTTCCCGTGTCCTCTTCACTTCGCTTGGTTTATGCTAGTGTTAGCCATGGGTGTTAGCTGCCGTCATATAGCTCAGTGTTTACATTCTTTCTGACTGCACTGCCACCCGCAGCACCGGCGTGGTATTACAGTTTTCAGCAAAATATAGCAGCAAGCCCCTGTGATGTTATATAATGATATCACCATGCTTTGAATTGCAGGCCCTAAACTAGTACTATCTATAACATTTAAAGTGTACTTCACATGTAAAAGTGCATGTTGTAGTTGGTAAAGGTGAGTCTATAGCATTTAAAGTGTACTTCACATGTAAAAGTACATGTTTTAGTTGGTAAAGGTGAGTCTATAACATTTAAAGTGTACTTCACATGTAAAAGTACATGTTTTAGTTGGTAAAGTCAAGTCTATAACATTTAAAGTGTACTTCACATGTAAAAGTACCATAACTAATGGTGATATGACTTCTCTCCAGTCTAGTCCTCACGTTTGATTGATCAGTCATGCACAGGCCACTTGGTATAACAGGGTTACGTGTGCAGTTTGGAAGAGTGCAGGTTACATCCAGTTTAAATGTAGACTCTTCTGTCAGGAGCAGTGAATCAGATTACTGCTCCTCCACAGACTTGATGGGCTCCTCCCTCCTCCTCCTCCTCCTCCTCCGCCCCCGCGTGTCCCGTTAAATTCCTCACGCCTGGCATCAGGTTCCCGGAGGAAAGGGCGGAGAGTTGGCCGCCAAGTCTGTAACTAAAGTCGCCGAACAAGGTCGGACAAACCGGGAAACGAGCTTTACCGCAGCTCCGATGACCGGATCACTGAGCGGCTGCCAGCACCCGAGGGGAGCGACAGGAATGACGGACTGACGTGAAGCGCGATGACCGGGAACATGCCGGTGTTGTCGGGATGAGGAGCACGTTCACCGGTGGATATTAGAGGACCCGCCTGTTGCTCAGCTCCTGCAAGTGCGCGTCTGTCGTAATTCTCCAGCGGAGGCAGATGATGGCAGAGAGGCGGACCAGAGGCATGACCGGCTCGGTTCAGAGCCGGACCACAGCGGCCCGGGCCACTGCTATAGCCGAACAACTGCACCATGAGTGCTCCACACTGCTGGAGCTTTATGTGAGTGGAGGATCCTACTGACTCCCTGTGTGTGTGTGTGTGTGTGTGTGTGTGTGTGTGTGTGTG